GATGCCCATGTCGTGCAGGTACTTGACGGCGTCCAGGACCTGCCGGATCAGGGCGCTGGCGTCGCGCTCCGTGTAGAAGCCCTTCTCCACGATGCGGTCGAAGAGCTCGCCGCCCGACACCCTGCGGGGCGGAGGGCGTGAGCGGCGCCCGCCCGCGCGCCGCGCGCCGGCCCCGGCCCCGCTCACAGCTGCATGATGAGGTAGAGGTGGCTGCCGCTCTCGTAGATGTCGTCCAAGGCCACGATGTTGGGGTGCTTGATCCTGCGGGCGGAGGCGGCGCCGTGAGAGCGGCCGGAGCGCGCAGGCAACGGCGCCGGCTATTTTCGGCGGCGCCGATAAGGCCCCGTGGCGGCCGCCCCTACTTGTGCAGCACGGCGATCTCGTTCTCGATGCTGGTCTCCTTGCCCTCCAGCGCCTTCTTGGCGATGCACTTGATGGCCACCAGCTTGCGCGTGCTCCTCTCCTCGGCCAGCACCACCTCGGAGAAGGCGCCGCTGCGGCGCCGAGCGGGGTGAGCGCCGGGGGGCCGCGCACCGCCGCATCGCCACGGCAACGGGCAGAAACACCCGCTATTTATAGGCGGGCGGGGGGCCCGTGGCGGCCGCAGGTGAAGGGCGGCCTGTCCCCTGAGCCGCGCTCTAATTAACCCGCTAATCCCGCCTAAGAGCCTTAGGGCGCCGCGTGGGGCTCGCGGCCGGCCCGGCAAGGTGGCCGCGGCGGCCAGGGGGCCCGGCGGGGGCTCCGCGTGCCACTCACGTGCCCAGGACCTCGCGGAAGTCGTAGATGCGGCCGATGTCGTCCGTCCTCTTCTTCCAGGCGGGCGCGCGCTGCCCCAGCGGCATGGTGCCCCCCCGGGGCGCCCGGCGGCCGCGCCGCCTGCCGCGGGACGGCGATCAGGGAGCAGGGACACGGGACAGGGCGTCAGGGCGCGGGGACACGGGATGGGATGGCACGAGAGGGCACGGGGACGCGGGACGGAGCGCCAGGGCGAGGGGATGGCACGTCAGGGTGCATGGGGATGTGGGGACGGTGTGACGGGGAGCGGGGACACAGGGATGGAGTGACAGGGTGCAGGGATACGGGACAGCGTGACAGGGCACGGGGACGGCGCGTGAGGGCGCATGGGGACACGGGACAGCGTGACGGGGCGGGGGGACACGGGACGTCACGGCAGGGCGCGGGGGGGCAGCGGGACGGGGACCCGGGGGGCAGCGTCCCGGTGGGGCGGGCGCCGCCGCACGCGCACCCACGGGCGGCCGCGTCGTGCGCGGGGCGGAGCCGCCGCCCGTGGGGCCGGTCGCGGGTGGGGGCGCAGCCCGGCCCCCCCTTCCCCGTCCCCCCCCCCCTTACCCCCGCGCTGCGGCGGCCCCGGCCCCGGCCCCGCGCGAGCAGCGGCGGCTCCTCCCGGCGCGGCGCCGCCGGGCAGCCCTGACGTCACGCGGGGGCGGCCAATGGGCGGCCGCGGGCGGGGCGGGGCCACGCGGGACCGCGGGGCTCGCGTGGGGCGGCGCGCGCGCCCTGCGCGGGGGGGGATGATGGCACCGAGGGGTGGGGGGGCCTGGCGGCCCCTTCCCTGCCCCCCCCACGAGACGCTGCCTTCGTGCCCCCCACGCGTGTCCGTGGGGCCCTCCGTGGGGCTGAGGCAGCAGCACTGGGCACAGTGCCCCGGGCAGGGGGGTCTCTGCGCCCACCCCGGCCCCCACGCAGGGCCGCCCGCCCCCTCCCGGGCCCCGATTCCAGCCGGGCGCCAGGAAAACCACCGGCTCCTCCCGCGGCTCCCTTTATTGGCAGCACAGGCCGCAGGCGCCCCGCGCTCCCGCCGGACCCGCCGCCCACCGCTTCCACGGCCCGGGGCCCCACGGGACCCCCCCGCGCCCCCACGGCCGCGGGCAGGGCCGGCGCGGGATGCGTGGCCGTGGGATCGGCCCCGCGGTGCCGCCCCTCCACGCGGCCCCCCTCACCGCGCCGCTGATGTCAGGCTCCCGGAATAACAGCGGGAGCGGGCGGTGCCGCGGGAAGCGGCCGCGGCTCCCAGCGCGGCCCGGGCTCCCCGGGGACACGCGGGCAGCGCCGGCCCCGCTCCCGCGCCCGCCTCGCTGCCGCGGGGGCCCCGTGGGACCTGCCTCCCGGGACAGGCTCCACGGGGGGCTGCAGGGTCCCTCGGCGGAGCGTGGCCGTGCCGGGACCCCGCGCGCGACGCAGGGCGCTTCTCCTCCCTGCGCTGCCCTGGCCTCGCCGGGACGGGACAGTCTGTGCCGCGGCGGGCGGACGGAGCCGCGGGCACGGCGCTGCGCCCGGCTCCCCGCTACCCGTCCAGCAGCTTGAGGATGCTCTCGCGCTCCTTGAGGGTCTTCCACGCCTGGTCCTTCTCCTTCTTGGTGGGCGTGCGCTTCTTCTGCCGCGCGGCCATGATCTTGCGGAAGGCGTCCATCACCTCGTTGTCGGCCATGCGCACGCGCTGCCGCAGCTCCTGCCGGTGCAGCTCCTCCTTGGCCAGCCTGCGGCAGGGCGCCGTGAGCGCGGCCCCGGCGCCGCCGTGCCCCGGCCCCCCGCCCCGTGCCATGCCGCCCGCCGCTCACCGCAGCAGCTCGTGCTTCTTGGCGCGGTTGTGGGCGCTGAGCGCCTTGAGCTCCGCCTGCCTCTTGCGCAGCTCGGCCAGCACCTCGTCCTCCGAGTCCTCGGCCGGGCGCTCTTCCGACTCCAGCAAGCCCTGCGCCACCAGCTCCTCCTTGATGCGCCCCTCCAGCGACTTGGTGTGCGGCACGCTGCGGAGCGCGGGGAGCGGGCGCTGCGCGCGGGGAGGACGCGGGGGCTCCCCGGGCACCGCGCCGCCTTCTGCCCAACCGACTCCACGGATACCCAAGGGAGAGGATTCTCCTGGCTCCCTCCCGGCACTGGCAGAGCGCACGGAAACCGCAGGCGCGTCCAGGCAGCCGCTTTGGGGCCACGGGAGCCGCTCACCTGAAGGGCTTGTTCTGGCTGCGCGGGGAGGTGCCAGCGCCGTCGGCGCCCGAGTCCTTGCCGGTGATTTCGGGAATGGGGGAGTCCTCCACGGGGGAGATGATGTTCTCCTGCAAGCGGAGCGGCCGGTTTCCGAGGTGCCGCGGCCCCGCGGAGCCAGAGGGCACCCGGAGCCCGCTCACCTCCACCAGGGCCTGCAGCAGACGCTGCGTCAGGGGCCCGAAGGGGCACCCGTCCTCCGGCTGCTCGTGCTGGGCCTCCGACTTCTTCAGCAGGGCATCGACGTCTGCGAGGAACAGGGAAACGGTGAGGAGCGGCAGGGCAGGCGCGCAGCCCGAGGCCTCAGCGGGCAGCCCCGACACGCGGGAACCCCCCGGGCGGCAGCGCCAGGCCCCAGGGCTCGGCCGCCGCGCGGCCCCCCCGGCCCCTCCGTGCCAGCGGCACCTTTCGTGTCCAGCTCGGTGAGGGGCCCCAGGACGCCCTTCTTCTTGTCGGCGGCGGCCGCAGCGCGCGCTCCGTCCTTCTGCTCCTCCAGCAGGTCCTCCTGGGCCCAGCGCTGCGAGTAGTGCTTGCCCAGCGGCGGGATCTGCAGCCGGGGCGAGGGCCGCGCTGGGCGCACGGGGACACGCGCACGGCGCCGCCCCACGGCCCCGCGCCGCCCCACGGCCCCGCAGCCCCATCCGCGGGGCTGCTCTCCCGCTTTCCCAAGGCCTGGGCTCTCCCGTCCTCTCCCGCGGTCCCGGTGCGGAGCCTCGGCACATCGGATGCCCCATGGACACCCCTAAGCCCTGGTTCTCGTCTCCACGGCTGCTGTGTCTCCTGGCTAACCCGCTCACAAGCAGCCGAGGACAAGAACAACCGCCCCCTCCTCATCCCTCGAGCGACCGCATGGACACAGCCCAGGCCCGGGATACAGCAGGAAGAACGCGTGGATAAAGTCCTGCCTTTGCAGGGAAACGCTCCTGTCGCCCCGCGAGAAGGAAAGCTAGGAAATGGGTGGGAAGAGAGGCCGCGGGAGCGGGTTGTTCACCTTGTAGTGCTCGGCCTCGTCCTCGGGCGGCTTGAGCAGCTCCTCCAGCACGCGCACCTCCTCGCTCGTGAGGTCGGCGCAGTAGGGCTCCACCGAGGCCCAGAACCTGCCGGGCGCAGCGGGCGCCGCTGAGCGCGGCCGGCTCCGCGCCGGCCCTGCCCGCGGCTCCGCTCCCCCCGGGCGCACCTGTTCGGAGCGTCGTTTTTAGGGATCCGCGGCACGTCAATGGGATCGTCCGGGAACTCGTATTCCTGGATCTTGGGCTGCAGGTTCTTGGATTTGGGCCGCCCCGGGCCTGGCCCTGTGCTATGGCCCCCTTTGCCCTCCAGCTTCTGCTTCTTGGGCTTGCCGTGCTTGACGGAGGCGCCCACATCATGCTCCTTGAGCTTCAGGAACCGCCGGTCGCCCTTCTTGTCCTGCCAGTCCGTGAGGATCTGCAAGAGAGGGGGAAGCTGATGTGAGGGGGCTCCGCGCGGGCACCGAGCGCCGGTACCGGCACCGGCGGCGCCGGCGGCACCTGCGTCTCGGCCTCCAGGACGCGGAGGCGGCGGCTGGCGGAGGAGAGCAGCGTCTCGAGCTCGAGCTGCAGCGTGTCGAGCTCCTCGATGCCGATGCCGTCGTCGTCGGAGCGGGCGAGCACGGCCGTGTAGCGCGGGCACACCTTGCCGTGGTCCACCGACTTGAAGTCGTGGAACTGCAGCGGGCAGTCCTTGAGCTCGCTCATGACGGCGCCCGCCGGCGCCGCGGCGCCGGGGGGGGGCCCGGGGCGC